TGGGGAAAAAATAAGAACCAAGATGCATTATGTAAAGGTACAATTCCCAATGAGAAATGTAATTGTGTTGTATACCTAAAATGTACCAATAAGAGAATTTAATACAAAAAAAAAAGAAGTTCAAAAAGTAGTATGAAAACTAATGAGGTTTTGTACTATTATATTATGTACTGGATATAATTTGATTAGTGCTTTCAGACTAGCAATCTAGAAAAAGACTCAGATATCTGAGGAAAAACCATCCTTTTTCAAACAAGGCCCCCAAGTGGCAGTTTAACGACATATTGTACAAAGAAAAAACAATGCTTGTCTTACTGCAAAATCTAATCAAGTATCAATATGTCAACTGCATCCTAAGAGTGACAGATGAAAAATAACATTACCTAATCATTAAGATGGAATTTTACTAAGTCTTCAGTCATAAATAAAACTTTGCAGTTCAAATAACATGATAATGCACTTACTGCTGGAAAGCCAATGTTGAGCATTTCACTTTTCTTGTTCTAACATGACCACTTTTCTTGTTCTTGGTAAATCCCTCAGAAACATGTGTGCTCTCTCTCTACACACAAAACATGGGTGTCTAGGAATTTTCTTAGTAACTAATGGCTTTTTATACTTTTCCCTATGCAGTTTTACTCTGTGGTTAAAAAATAACAGCGTCAATTTGAGTGGTATTCGACATTGCCCTACACAGTGCATTTGCTTCCTGGTGGTTCCTTCTGAATTCATACTGTTGGGCTAGCAAGAAGATACAGCTCCTAGGAAGGGAAGCCTGAGAAAGCCTCTGTGTCACACACAGTGGAGTAGACATGCTAGGGAACAAGTGAACTGACTACATGTACACCAGCATGTGGAAAACTGCTCCTCTGGTGTTAATGTAAAACAAAGTTTAAAGCCTGTCTAAATTATTTTCTCATGACTTTATCATGTATTTGTGGTAGTAACTTGGTTAAGACATATTTTCTGTATGTATTTTTATCTAGCATAATAAGACAGTAGGTGAAAGAGATGAATCTTTGCCCTGATGAGTTTTTAAAAATCTGAATTGGACAGTTCATATTCTAAAACACACATGTACACATACACAAACACGCACACTGTACTAATTAAACACAATAATATTGAAGTGGGACATTAAAGAGTTTTCCTTTTTTTAACGACAACAGTAAAATACTATATTCAGCTCAGTATACACAAGTCATGAACAGTAGCTTTTCAATAAAGTCTCCAATATCTCACTCATTTACCGATGCTCAAAACTTAAAGAAAAGGTACAGCAGGCTGTCCTCATTCTTTCACTCCCCTGTCGCGTTTACAGCTGTGTCTCCACACAGAGTGTACAGGCAAAGCTGCCCAACAGGTCAGAAAGTATTTTTGTAAAAATTTCCACACATGAACCTATATCTCCGTTTGGAGCAGAATTTTACAAATGAAGACACAACAGCAGGGTCGCCTGTACTCAACCATCTCCTGTAAATATGGCGGAGTGCGGACTGGTGAGTTTAAACAAAGCTTCTCAAATTTTAAAAACCTCGGAAATTAGCAACCTACAGTTTTTACACAAAACTGTGTATTAAAAAAATAAGCATTCAACAAAGAACAGTAACTTCTGTCACTGCACAATATTTAAGAACAGAAATATAATTAAAGATATAGTCTATAATTTTCTTTGCTAGAAATTTCAAAACCAAAGTTGCAAGCTATGTGGACTCTGGAGCCACTGAAACTGTGAAATTTCCCTAAAAATAATGCCCAATGTGATCTCAAATCACAGGAAGGGACCCGTCACAGGTCGCAGGGCAGCAGTCCCCAGGCGCCGCCCACCCTCGCGCAGCCCGCCCGCCAGCGGAGGTGGGAGCGCTGCACCCCGGCCGGAGGAGCGTCCGCTAGCGATTCACCCTCGAGCTACCGCCCATCTATCACGGCCTGGGGGGGGAGGAAGGTTAGGAGACCCCGCCCGTCTTGGTAACCAGCCCCAGAGGTGCTGAAGTTGTGGAGGCCATAGTCACCGAAGTTCGACTCAGCCTCTCCGGCCTGGTCCGCCCGGAGTTCGCCAGGGGTCGCAGGAGTTCTAGGGATGCCGGCCGCGACGTCACTCCGCTAGCCCTGGGCCTTGACAGCTGCCCACGCGTTGGGGCGGGGCTCGAGCGCGCCCCATTAAGTATCACCGAGGCAGGCCCCGTCTCCTACGGGCTGTGATTGGCTTGAGGTGGTGCAGCTTTGATCCGATTGGTGCCGGGAGACGGGGTTGCGCGAGCGAGGCTAGGGCTTGCCTGCCAAGGCCCGGCTGAGGTGAGCGAGGTGGTGGAGGACTGATGATTAGGCTAGTGGGGCTGGCGGTTTGCGCCCAGGTCCCGGGGGAAGTGGAAGAGTCGGACGCCAGCCTGCACGCGCCGCTCAGCGACCGGCGACGAGCGAAGATGGTGGTGCGTGCGCGCGCGCGTGGGCGTGTGCGTGTAGTGGAGTGAGCGCGCCAGCCGTCCACGCGCAAGTGCAGGTCCCGCAGTGGTCACACGCTCCGCGGCCTCGCGTCCTGCCTGCCCGCCACGACCGCAGGGCCAGGGCGCTGGGCAGGTGTGGGAGCGCACCGGCAGCGCGAGACAAAGGCCGGGGACGAGCGGCCATGGCCTCCCGTGGCCTGAGCGCCCTGGGCGCGGGCCTGGGCGGGGGCCGAGGCGGCGGTAGGAAGAGCCTGAGCGCGCGCAACGCGGCGGTGGAGCGCAGGAACCTCCTCACTGTGTGCAGGTACGGCGGGCGGCGGGCCCGGAGCTGGGGTGCAGCCGGCCCCGCCTCCCCGGCGGAGGGGTCCGCGCCCGGCCCCTCAGGGTCGGGGCTTCCCCGCAGCTCTGATGCTGCAGGAGGCGCGGGCCGGCTTAGGCGGGGCCGCGCAACGTGTTTTGAATGTGCAATCTGGTGTCGGAGTACAAGAGAAGGGCCACGAGGAAGGGCCCCTTCATTTAGTGCTCGTTAGACTGGCTGCCGGCTGCCCGTACGGTGTTCACTGTGATCCTTACCGTGGGGCCCCCAGGTCGGAGTGCAGTTTGTCGTTCTGGGTTGTTGACATGTGTCTTCATCCCTTTCACGCCACACACACTGGTGCCTACCGCTCTGCAGCAGCCATTGTGTACTGTGGCTGTGTACTGTCCACTTGCAAACTACAGGCGAGTGCTGTCTTTGCACGGGCACAAGCGTGAGGCTGGGGCATACCTAGTCATCACGTCAGGGAGGTTCTCCTAGTCTGCCTTCCCTTGGGCATTTTGTAACTCTACATGTAGTTTTCTTTTTCTCTAGAAGATATAGAAACGAAGGAATCACTGTCTATAAGCTTAGTATCCAGAGAGAACTGATTTTTAATATGGCGATTATTTTAAGTCTTATACCTGAATATCTTTTTAAAGATGAAATTGTACGCATCCGTTTTTGAGGAACTTCCCTGAACTCTTAAATTGTTTTAATATCTGTTCCAGCAAACCTAATCATCAGTGAGAGTAAGATGGTTATGAAACCTTTTCCTCCTTTGTAATCCATATCTGTATTTTTTCTCAATTTCCTTGTGTGTAAATCTGTGAAGCATTTAAAGCAGAATATAAACATTTACTAAGATTTATATTTAATAACTTTGAGTGACTTGTTTTTTGTTTGTTTTTAGAGACAAGTTCGTGCTATGTAGTTCAGGCTGATGTCGAACTTGTGGCAGTCCTCCTACCTCAGCTTCCAAAGTGCTGGGATCACAGGTGCCACCACACCCACTTCTGAGTGACTTTTTAAAAATTTGGCTTATTATAAATGGTAAAATAATATAGAACCTGTTAACCATTTGTGCCGTGCAGGGTGCAGCCTTTTGAGAGAAACAGGCCTTATTAAATTCTTTTGAATTGAGGAAAATATTTTAAGTTAGGTAAATAGAACAATACACTAGGCCTTTATAGATATTAAAAATAATTACTTTTTAAAATGAGGATAATTACAGATCAGATTCCAGCACACACCATGCTTCTTGAGGGAATACACTGTCATAGAAGCTTCATCAGAATTAAACTTCACACAGGCAATAATCTCATTGGCTTTTGCATAGTCTTTTTCAAATTCCTCCCTGTGTCTTATACTCAGTAAATATTTATGAATGAAGAGATTCAGTGTTGGCACTAGTCCATTTTCTTCTCCATTTTAGGGTTGGTTGGTTTTTAAATCACTTACTCTTCACTCATCCCCTCATCAGAGAAAAATGAGGAAAAGAAGAGGATTTGTATTTATATTTAGTATAGGACCTAAAATAAATGTCAATTTCTGGGGTAGATTTCAATTTGTATAATTATTAATGTGGATAATATTAAGGCTGTTGTGCATGTCTAAATAGTTGATGGTACGTATAAATGATCATCTATGTGGAGTAATGGAGCTTATTAGATGGTCTGTCTAAATGACTTGTACTGTTTCAAAAAGTCACTATAGGCCATCTGTAGGTTTTAAGTTAGGCAAAATGAACAAAAACGTATTTATGCTGCTTTACTTTTCAGAGCTACTAATCTTTAGGTATTTCACCCATGTCTTTTAATGAATTCACTTTTAACATCTCAAATCAGAGATCATTTGATACTTAAATTTGGAAGAAGTTGCTTTTAGTGGAAATATAACTGAGTGCTATATTGACTTTGTCATTTCCTAATGCTATGTCATGGAATCTGCAATATAATATTGGGGTGATTAACCTTCATGAATAGCCCTAAAAGTAAAGCAAAATGTGTTCATATTTGAATTTCTAGAAATATGAGCAGAGTAACAATGCAGAGTAGCTGCTAGATGAGGCATGTGTGTTTTCCTTGTAAATGGAAAGCCTTTTTGAAATGTACCTCCCATTTTGATTCTTTACCAGTGCTCTGAAAAAATCGAACAGTTTATAAAACCAAAATGAAGAAAAACAAACCCCACTACTACATACCATTCCAGTGTATCTACTTACAAAGTAATGCTCTTTCCTTAGACCTGAAACAGCTTAGGCATAGTATATTAAAGCCTTACCAACTGCAATATTAGTATAGTTTTGAATTTTGGAATTGGGTTGTTTAGGTAGGATAATCAGGAAAAAAGCTTAGTTAAATTTTGGTTCATTATGATTGTGTATGTAATGATTCACTTTTTTTTTCCAGTAAACATTTACAGATTGTAGACTAAAACATTTGTATGGTATTTATCTCAGCCTGTAAGTATGGTTTTATCACATTTTTTATGATAAAAAATTTAAAAATCTATAGATTGTGGTTGAGAGAACATATACCTGTAGGTCATTTAATGACTTTAAATCTTTCATACTAAATTCTAAAGTATTCATACATTGACTTTGGTCTGTGCACCGACTAATATTTTCCCTGTTCTATTATGTATCTTTCAGAATTTTGAAAAAATTCAGTTGTTAAAGTTTTTCAGATTTCCTTTTAACAGGCATTTTTCATCTGTAGAAAATTAGGTATTAGTCATTTTTCTATTGTTAAGCGTACTGAAAAGCTGATAAATTTGCTTTTAGTTGTGTTGGCAAAGAGAATTAAAACCTAAATGATCTTTCAATGGATTAACAGTATTTTATGGGAAAATTATACATGTTTAGTAGTTTGCATAGACATTTTAAAGTAACATTTATCAAGCTTTTAAATCAGTGCATAAGAGAAGCTTCCTATACAAAGTCATCATTTTCCTGTCTCTAGGATAGAAATGGACTCACAGGATGTATTGAGGAGATAATGTGATGAGTTAAACAGGGTAGAAACAAAATGATGATTTCGTAGTTAAAATACTTTTTTTTTTTTGGTACTGGGGATTGAACTCAGGACCTTCTGCTTTTGGGGCAGACACCGGAACCCCCTGAGCTAAATCCCAGCCCCTAAAATACTTTTAATAACTTAGCTTTCTTTAGGTCAACATAGTATTTCAGATCTTGAATATTATTTCAAATTAGATTAGCACCTCTTTTTTCAGTATAGTCAAGAAATGAAGGATT